TCTTATAATGCCACGATAATTTGACCAACCTGATTCTCCAATGTCCTCAGCGACGAACTGTGGCTCTGAAGCAGAGCCCCTTGGTTTTTTATAGATGTTGCATGGTCTTGCAGCATTGTCTTCGTTGTTGCTATGAACTCTTGCATTGTGGCCTCCAAAGAATTGGTGTTAGATGAAGATGGCCCTCCCTTGTTGGAATTATGCCATGGCATATTTGATTGAAATCCCTGGGAGTCATTGAAATTCTGCTGCGAACCTGGTTGATGGGCATTGCTGGTTCCTTGGTTTCCCCGTGAAAAGTTTGGATGTTGATGCCATCCAGGATTATATGTGTTAGAATAGAGGTTGTTGTTGCCTCGGTTGAATTTGCCTACATAATTGATGGATTCTTGATTGGTCGGGCAGTCACTCTCATTGTGATTGTCGTGGCATAATAAACATATTGAATGGGTTACATTCACTTATTTCACCTCACTTGGCCTTTGCATATTCTTCAACATGTTGGTGATAGCAGCAAGTTGGGCAGACACGTTATCCTTAGAGTCTAGCTCGAAAGCTCCATGTGATTTGCGCCAAAGTCTAAGCCTTATGGATGGGGACTGATAATCGTTGGTGGCAATCCTATCCAGAATGTCAAATGCTTCTGTTGGTGATTTGTCAAGTAATGTCACATTTGCCGAGGCATCTAGCATCATCCTCGTGGGTGCATTAACTCCATTGTAGAACATCACCACTTGCATCCAATCTTGAAAATCATGATTCGAACATTTACGAAGCAATGCTTTGTATCGATCCCAGCACTCATACATCGACTCTTCATCAGCTTGACGAAAAGAAGCAATGTCGTTCCTCAGTTGGGTGTTTATGTTCGGAGGATTATACCGCAGCAAAATTGTTTTGCACAGATCAGTCCACGACTCCATTGAACCCGCTGGAACGCCACTCAACCAAGCTCTTGCTCGGTCACGTAGGGAATATGGAAATAGCTTCAATTTCATAACATCTTCGTGCACTCCTTTTTGGCGAAAAGAATCACACACCTCCATGAAGTTACGAATATGCTATCTGGCATCTTCATTTGGCATGCCCCCGAATTTCCCTATGGAATTCAGCATATTGAACATCATAGGTTTGAGCTCGAAGTGGGATGCCTGAATTTCTGGTGCCACTATTCCAGGATTTAAGTCATCTAAGATCGGGTTTAAGTGATTACGAATGGCATGAGGTCGGGCTGTATTCCCAGCATTTAGATTTGCCTCGACATTCTGATAATCCTCATGACCAATGCCTTGATTTCCGATTTGATACATATTTGCACGTTGAGCATGTCTTCTTTGCCTAAAAAGCCTCTCGATCTCATGTTCAACTGGTTCTAATAGCTCGTCCGAATGTCTTCTGGTCATACACCGCGAAAAACCTGAAAAAGATAAGGAAAATAAAAAGTAAATCTATCTAAAATAAATAAATAAATAAATAAACAAGTAAAATAATAATACTATGACAAAACAAATTAACTTCCAGTTGCCAATCCCCGACAACGGCCCCAAAAACTTATCCGATGTTTATGAGTACTATAAATGGTGTGGATATGTGTGCAAGTATACACAATTGAACAAGTAATAATATGATGAGTGAGTATCGTTCTCCACAGGGATTGGGGGAAATCAAATAAGTTTGTCACGACACTTTACTTTGTCACCTAAGTAAAGTTAGAGATGGTATATATACAAATGGTAATATTGTGGCAAAATGAATTAATGGTATGGAAATAGAACGATGACAATGTGTTAGCAAATGGATATGTTGTGGCAAAAGGAATTGTGTGTACTGCAATCAAATAAAAATGTAAAGGCAAAATAAACTGTAAATACTGGATTTGATTATAAGGACTTTAGACTCATCACACGATAAGCTACTATGGGAATGAGTGATAGGAGTTACTTAGGAAATTTAAGTCTACTTCTCAGAATGGTTTTACTTCTATGCTTTATCTACCTGACAGAGTTTACTAAAGGTGCCCTATGCTATCTCTAGTTAAGGGACTCGACAGATTGAAGATGCCTTGGCAAAACCGATTGGCGTTAGCTACTGCAAGGACCCTATTGGTCCAAATAACAGGATATGTCTTGGCAATACCTTTTTGCGGCAACATTAACATCTAATATATCGCTCATACACAACTCCTTTTAGTCGAATGAAATCCTAGCCTTATCTCTAAGGTGGATTAGGCCTAGTTACTATCTAGAACCCCTTGCTTATGTGGTTCCTCCCTAGTTTTTCTCGAACACTAAGGATGTGTTACCTAGACATTCTCTCGAACACTAAGTAATCTCCTAAGGAACGACTACTCTCGTAGCTCCTATAACCTTAAGGCACTAAGCTTCATAAACAAAACAAAATATAACATAGAAAAATAACCATTCAGTAAAGCAAAACTTACATATCCAAAATAAACTCCCACCAAATAGGATTAGTTCATGGTGGGGTTCGAAATAAGTAAGCAAAAAGCAAGTTAATCTGTTCCTTACAACCCAAAAGATAAATATGAAAGCAATGAGCAAAGGGAAGGAGGAAAAGCCTTCGACGTGCACTACCAGAGCTTCCCTAGGCCACCACGAATTGTCCCAGCGATCTAGTCGGATGCCTAGTTCGCCACTCCCTCTAGCCTGTCAATGGAGGAATGTCACGGAAAAAACAATTGACGGAAAAGGAGAGAACTTTTTCTTCGAATTTTTAGGCTCTTGGAGGCTGTCTGAAAATCTCCAAGTCTACTCAAAAAGTCAGGCTTCATCTTCTATTTATAGGGGAGAATGAACCTAGGGTTTTGTGTTAAAATTACACTAGCACCACCCTAAAGTTCATTCATTTTATGTGAGAGTCGGTGCAAAGATGGTAATTGGCCCCTCTATTATGGTTGATTGCAGAAAGCACTTTTTATGCCATGACAGCTGGCTCTTATTAAAAATATTATTCTTTCGTTTTGATCGCTCTCGAAATGCCAACTGGTTCGACATTTGCATTCTTCTTAACAGTCTCCTTATCTCATGGCATTTCCCTTTTGCTTTTCCTTTCTCTTAAATCCTACACATCACCAGACAAACACCTTCCCCATAAAGCAACACTGGTTACAAAATAAAATGTCGCGGCAAACAAAATTTCACCACATGCAACTATATGCTCCTAAATGCATCTATATGATCCTATATGAGCTCTAAGACAGTCAATAACTTAAGTGAAAAGGTCTCAAATATGACCCTTTTACGGAGTTATCAAATTCTACGAAAATTTGTCAAGGACCAGTGCTAAAATCTATCGAACAATATTGAATGATAGATCAGAGGGGTCTATTGATGTTTGATTAACCTAAATTTTAGATTGTAGATCTATCTTAGTCTGAAGAATGTTTTTGTAAAAAATTAGCCCCAAATTTATTTGTTTGCAATTTTTTTAAAAAATAAAAAAAATAAAAAAATAAATCCCTGTGTGGTCTCTCTCCCTCTTATCCTTCCATATCTGATAGTAGCGAAGGGTCACCATCGGTTAAGTTTTGTTTAAAACAGGATGAAGAACTTAATGGTGACGACCATGTAACGTATAGACAACTAGGGTCGTTGAAATCATCGAAAAATAGCAAAGGAAAATCTAGAAATTTGATGACCATTCGAGACGCTTTTCACAACGATCTATGCAGTTTCATAGTGGATGGGGGATTGGGTTTTGGTCGTGATGGCGAGACAGTTTTGATGGTCTCAACTGTGACAACCATATATCGACGGTGGTCAATCAACAATGAAGGAAATAAATTTTGGAGTTTTTTAGGTTGTTTTAAACTATAATATTAAGTTTAAAAAAAACTAAAATATTTTTTGAAATTTTATGTGTGATACATATTAAATAATGGTCAAATTTAATGATCGTTATGGTCCAGACACCTAAAAGTGTAAAGTTGAAAACGTTAGACACTTATTTTTATTAAAAAACTCTTTAAACACCGAAAGTTAATTTGAGGTATAATTTCTTTTTCTATGATTTGATTCAGACTGATTTCTACCGTATTCTCCATAAAATTGTTCATGGTCTTTTTTTCGTTCTAGAGATTGATTTATTAGCTTAACCTTTCTTCTTCATTCAAGAAAGAAAATGGCATAATGACTAGAGTTTAGCGAGATGTTTTCATATGATTTGATTCCAACTTATTTTTATCGTATTCTTCATAAAATTGTTCATGGTCTTTTTTTTCGTTCTAGAGATTGATTTGTTAGCTTAACCTTTCTTCTTCATTCAAGAAAGAAAATGTTATAATGACGAGAGTTTAGTGAGATGTTCTAGTCATGGATGAACCTAAACAGGGGCGGTAGGGTAGTCGCCCTCTTAAAAATTTAAAATTATCATATATTTAAAATTTATTTTATTTATTTTTATTAAGAATTTATTATTATCTCCTTAAATTTTTTAAGTTTAAATTCGTCCTTCTAATATAATATACTGTGTCTATCTCTGATTCTAGTGTTTCTCACTAGTCTTATTTTAGATAAGTAGGAGTATTAATTTGTCTCTTGTAACATAAATAACAAAATAAAATTTCATGAAAAAACAAACTAAAATATGAATTCATCAAATGGATTGAAGGTTAAAAAAACATCGCCATTTTAGATATTTTAAGTTTGAATAATATATCTGTAAGATATATGAACATTATCAATAAATTAAATTTTTTAAATAAATATTATTTTATAATCATCTTGTATTATTAAAACAAACAAAAACAAATAAATAGAATGTAATTTCAATTAAGGATAATCTTCAACTATATCACTGAAGACTCGACGCGAGTATCACAGTGCATGTAATTCAAAATGATATCTTTTACAAATTCAGCTTTCAAAAAAAATTAGAGAAACACTTTCTAATAATATTTTAAAAATTAATATCAAACTAAACCCAATCACCGTCCATGTAATTCAAAATGATTTGTTTTATACAAATAATTTCTGATATGATCCGACTAAAACGCAATGTGGTTTGAGTTTTTTTTTTAATTCTCCTTCTTCCAAATATCTGGCAAAGGTAGTTGGCAAGTAGTCGGCAAATGCTGAATTTAACAGTAAAATAATGGCGGATCTCTCGATGCTGAGAGTTGTTCAAAACCCAATTGTTTTTTGATTTCTTTCTTTCTTTATAAGAACATGGAACCAACTCAACCGAACAAATCTCTCCCTTTTAGCAACAAGAAAGCTTCATCTCCAAAGTTCTAATCTTCCCAAAAGGTACTTTTTATTTATCTTCAAATTTCAAGCATGGAAGTCTCACTTGCTCGTTACCAATCCATTTCATTCGATCAAATACGGAATAATTGTCGTTTTCCTTCATCAGTCCACAATGTATTCACAACAAAACCTTTCTTTTCCGGCTATTGTTTTCGATTCAGTAGGAGAAAATGGGGCAGCTCATTTGATACAATTAAGTGTTTTTCTCTCGAGCAAGGGCTGCAGCCGCGGCGGCCCAAGCCAAAACCTCCTAGGAATACTAACCCTGAGTTGAAAGAAACGGAGGAGACTCAGATTAAAAGACCCAGTGTTGGGCTTTGTAGTCAGATAGAGAAGTTGGCTTTGTGTAATAGGTATAGGGAAGCACTTGAATTGTTTGAGATTTTGGAACTTGAAGGTGGTTTTGATGTTGGTTCAAGCACATATGATGCATTAGTGAGTGCTTGTATTGGGTTGGGATCCGTTCGAGCAGTAAAGAGGGTCTTTAATTACATGGTGAGTAATGGGTTTGAGCCAGACCAGTATATGAGCAACAGGATGTTGCATGTGCATGTGAAATGCGGGATGATGATCGACGCACGTAATATGTTCGATGAAATGCCGGAGAAGAATTTGGTTTCGTGGAATACCATCATTGCTGGGCTGTTCGATAGTGGGGATTACTTGGAGTCATTTAGATTGTTTCTACTTATGTGGGAGGAGTTCTCTGATTGTGGATCTCGAACTTTCGCAACGATGATCCGGGCATCCGCAGGGTTGGAACTCATTTCGGTAGGAAAGCAGTTACATTCGTGTGCGGTCAAGATTGGTGTAGGTGAAGATATCTTTGTGTCTTGTGCCCTGATTGACATGTATAGTAATTGTGGCAGCATTGAAGACGCTCAATGGGTTTTCGATGACATGCCGGAGAAGACTACCGTGGGATGGAATTCAATTATAGCAGGTTATGCTCTTCATGGTTATAGTGAGGAAGCGCTGAGTATGTTTTATGAGATGCAAGATTCTGGTGTTAAAATGGACCATTTCACGTTTTCGATGATTATCAGAATTTGTTCGAGGTTAGCTTCAGTTGAATATGCTAAGCAAGCTCATGCAGGTCTGATTCGTTACGGTTTCGGGTCAGAAATAGTGGCCAGCACTGCTCTTGTGGACTTTTATAGCAAATGGGGGAGAATAGAAGATGCTAAACACGTTTTCGACAGGATGCCTCGCAAGAATACAATATCTTGGAATGCTGTCATTGCTGGATATGGTAATCATGGTCGTGGAGCTGAGGCTGTGGAATTGTTTGAGCAAATGCTTCGAGAAAAAATGAGACCTAACCATGTTACTTTTCTTGCTGTGTTATCTGCTTGTAGCTACTCGAGATTATCTGAACGCGGTTGGGAAATTTTTCAGTCCATGGGCAGAGATCACAAGATCAAGCCCCGTGCAATGCATTATGCATGCATGATCGAGTTATTAGGTCAAGAGGGACTTTTAGATGAGGCCTTTGCATTGATAAGAGCTGTTCCCTTCCAGCCTACGGCAAATATGTGGGCTGCACTGTTAACTGCTAGTCGTGTCAATGGGAATTTGGAGCTAGGGAAATTCGCAGCCGAGAACTTGTATGGAATGGAACCTGAAAAGCTTAGTAATTATGTTGTTCTTATGAATATCTACAACCGATCGGGCAGGTTAAAGGAATCAGCCGCTGTGTTGCAGACATTGAGAAGAAAGGGCTTACGGATGCTTCCCGTCTGCAGTTGGATTGAAGTTAATAAACGATCGCATGTTTTCCTCTCCGGAGACAAATCCCATGTCCACACAGATGAGATTTACCGGAAGGTTGATAGCTTGATTCACCAAATTTCAAAGTGTGGTTATGTTCCGGAGGAAAAAACTTTGCTTCCGGATGTCGATGAACAGGAACAGCGTGAATTGTTGTACCACAGTGAGAAATTAGCAGTAGCTTTTGGTCTGTTAAATACCATGAATAGATCATCACCTCTGCAAATCGTGCAGAGCCATCGAATATGCAACGACTGCCACAATGCTATTAAGTTGATAGCTCTGGTTACTCGACGGGAAATCATTGTGAGGGATGCTAGTAGATTTCACTACTTCAGACATGGGAGCTGTTCGTGTGGTGATTATTGGTGATGCTAAAACTTATCATCCAAGGCTCTAGAATTTTTGTCACTTTGATATTTTGTGTTGTATGGTAGTTAGTTTATTATTTCCCCGTCACCCATTTTCCCTCTTTTATTACAGATACTGTAATTCCACATGCAAGAGATGTAATTTTCAAGTTCATTAATTGAAAATCAATTCTTTTTTGTGCAAGAAACTCTTAATGCCTCCAAGTTCAAGCTGTTGCATCCTTCTTCATTTCACTCTCATTCGGAGGCATCTTTTTTTGTCATTTTCATGAATATTCCATCTTCTACGTTGAATGATGCAGCTGTTGAAGGTAGGACTCAAGTCAACATCATCAATGCTGGAAGAAGTTAGATATTTACCTACTCGTGCTTTGCGGATGATCTCATGGTTTTTACAAGAGGATCAAAGGATACAATAAAAGTAAGTTTCTTTAGTTTTTCTGGTTTGAATCAAAATCGAATCTTCGAATTTGGCTCCGAATATCCATGGAGGAGTTGCAGGAGATCCAATAAAGTTACTAGTTCCGAGCTTTTGGAAAGAGAGATTATTTTGACATTGCAAATATCATGAGGATGTTTGGCTCTTCTAAATTTCGTTATTTAGTTTTTCTTAGAGACCATCATAGCATAGATGGAATTCATTTTTCATAAAAAATTAGAGACGTATTCAAAAATATTTTTAAGAATAAAAACAAATATATTAATAATTTGAAATTTTCATATAAGATGATCACAATTAAAAAATTATGATAAATATAATTAATAAAAATTAATAATTATCTAAAAAAGAATTTAAATTTTAGAGTTAACACTTATTTGATCATTGATAATTTAATCTATTGATTAATTAATATAAATTAAATATTAAAAAATTTATTATGGAACGATTAATTGATATCGGAATGAAGTAATGGCAAAGATGAAACATCAATTTCAGAGATTAGGTAGGGTGTTAGTTTGGTTCAAAACGGAAACGGTATTAAGATAATTGCATTACGCTAAAGGATGACGAAATTCCATCTGCCAATCAATCTTGGCGTAGACTATGCTTTTGTCACACAACTTTGTTTTCATTTTTATTTTAATCATTTACTTTTATAAACATTTCAAATTTACAATCAAACTTTCAAATTTACATTTTTTGTCACTTCCATTAAGAGTTTAACGCGGTTTGAATTTTTTAGATAAAATTATGAACATGAAATATTCCTTTTAAACGAAGGAAGAAGTCGAGAAAAGAGAGAAAATAATATACATCAGTTTAAATATGATCGGATGATGAAAATATCATATCAAATCAAGATAACATCAAATCTTTTTTAATTAAGAAAAGCAATCAATTAATTAACTTACAACATGAGGACAAAGGATATTTCTATCTAAAAATAATTGAATATAACTTGACAACGATTCATAAATTGATAGATTGTCATGATAAGAGTCAAGAGGTTTGACAGGATCATTCGTAAGTATGTCATCTTCTTATGGTATTCGATAGAAGTCTGTCACCCATGCTTGTTGACGAATAGCATGAATGACTCGAACTAAAGAAAGTGAACTAGAGCATGCATGCGAGTCTTGCATGAGCTTATATGCCTCCTTTCAATCGGTTTGAATAGTACGCATTTTAAAGCCATAGGACTAGGCTATTGAGTTTTTTTTATTCCAAACAAAAAAAAAATCAAACTAATAATAAATAAGGAGAAAAGATGACTATTATAATATCAACTATGTCGTAAAAGTTGATTGATGACGATCGAACGATAATAAAAAAGATATTATTCATAGGAAGAATACATTAATATTATGTCAACTTCATAAATAACACTACCAAAACAATATTTTCATGGTACAGTTACGCAACTAACTGTTTAGGTTACAAAATAAAATAAAATTTGAAAATTGAGTGGTAAAATTGAAAGATTTTAAAGTGGAATGACCAAAACATAAACATAGTAAACATTTGAGTGATTAAATAGATAGTTTGCTCTTAATTTTATATCTATCTCAAAGATTTTTTAAGGCAGGTGGTTGAACTGATATTTTTTGGGGAATATTTGTTAGGATTAGGGATGACACTTTAAAACCTATTTTAGGATTAAAATTTAAGAGACTTGAATAAATTTATTTTTTTTATTTTTAATCGGAAAATAATCACAACACACACTATTTTTTACAGTTAATAATCACAAGAAATAAAAAAATTAAATGAAAAAAGTAATGATATGAGAATTTCAGGGTAAAAATGCATGTACTTGGATTTAAATGCAGTAGTAAATCAAATATATAAAATCCCTAATTTCAAAATTTATTACTAATTATTATCAATCATTTTCGGTCACTATCTCCATCACCGAACAATCATTCACTCACCGAACAATCATTCACTCGATAACGTTCATGACCGACCATCATTATTATCATTACCTGAAACTTTCATCCCTGCAACTTTCTACTATCCTTAATTCTAATTAATAACCATCACCGCCGAATACCGTAATCAACCGCAATAAAGATTCGTGTTCACACCTAAAATCAAATCCATGAAATCCATATATATAGGTGGATCTATCCCATGCTAAACGTCTATAGCACCATGATCTACTAGGGGTGTGCAAAATTACCCGACCCGGTTGACCCGACCCGCCGACCCGCCTCTAAAAAAACCGGGTAATTCTCTAAAAAAATTACCCAGCCGGGTCGGGTACCCGGCCCGACATTTTTCGGGTCAGGACCGGGTCACAAAATCTAGTTTTTCCGGGTACCCGGTTACCCGAGTACCCGGTTAGTTCTTTTTTTTTATATATAATTATATAAAATATAATGAATTATTTATATTATGGATTATTATATTTTGTATTTCGAACTTTTAAATTTTATGTTCGGATATTAGTGTATGTAATTCGAAGTTTCAAATATTTAAATTTGTGTATATATTTTTTTAAATTAATAATTTGAAAATAAAAAAATTAAAAACCGGGGTATCGGGTACCCGATTCCCGGGTATCCGCAAAATCCGGGTACCTGATTACCGGGTACCCGTAACATCCGGGTCGGGACACGAGCCGAGAAATCGTCGACCCGAAAGTTCCAGTACCCGAAAATCGGGTACCCGGATTTGCACACCCCTATGATCTACCATATACCCCACCATGGTGAACCTAATGGGACACAACTCCATTAACCTGTAATTAACCATAAATCAATATATACCAACCTCATAAGTATTCTATATTAATAACCCACTATACGAATAGTAGCAGTTATAATATATGAGTCAACTATGACCTTTGACTGCATTTCAAAATTTCAATAATGTAACGTGCATATATATATATATTTAAAAATAGTAACGGGATTGGATAAAGTGGTAAGCAATTTGATATCGTTTAAGTAAGATTTCAAGTTTGAGTCTTTATGTATGTAGAAAATCTCTATTGGGGGACTCACTCATCAAAATCAAGTGTGTAACATGGATCGATCCGAATTAATCAAACAAAACCTTAAAATCAAGATGACAACAGCAAAATCTTCTAAAAGAATATTTGAATTATAGGAGCCTGCAAAGGTTTACATATTTAATGGTATATATTACAAAAAAAAATCAAATTTACCTTACACATAAAAATTGGTTAATAAATTATTCCTTTTAAGTCAAAAGCCTGAACCAACACGTGATTGACAAATAAAAAATAAGAACGGAGTTGGAATATGATAAGATAAATTATTTAATTTTAAAATAAACAAGATATTTAAATATATTTTAAAATTGAAGGGTCCTAAAACATAATTAAACCAAAAAAACTGAAACTCGAAATTTTATTTTAAAACTAAACTGTTCTAAAATATAATTAAATCAACGAATTTGAGAACGGAAATGATTTAATTATAATGCTTGTAAAAATGTCAGAAACTTAAAACCAGTTAAACTATCAATGTTTGGGGAGAGGGTAATTGCCCCTCCCACCTTCCACATAGTTCGTCCCTACATATTCACCAAAAGTATACGTAGGATGATCCAGGGTTTGAAGATAATTAATTTTAGAAAATTTCAAATTTTTATATATTTTATATAATTTTTTTTATTAATAATTCATTCTTTTAATTACTTTTAGTTAAATTATCTGAACATTGCTTTTCTTAACTTTGTCATATTGTAACACCACAATGTTATATTTTAAATATTTTTATTTTTAAAATTAGTTTAATATATATTTTAAGTTTGGAGAGATGATTGTATAAACTTACAAAAGAAAAATTAAGGTTATTTACATCATCTTTAAAAAAATAACGGTTAAGTAGTTTAAACAAATATAATTTAAAAATTCAATGATGAAATTTATAAATTTATAGTTTAGAAATTAAATGTCAAAAGTTGAATGACTAAATAGATAGTTCATCCTAAATAAATATCCTAATTATCGTGCCATAGAAAAATTCCTTCGCTAAATTTTTTGAATAATGCAATTAAAAAAAATATTTGCTCGAATAATGCACTTGAGAGATTATTTCGTGAAATAGGGTGAATGTTACAGTGAATCCCGAAGACGCAACCCGAACCCCTTGAAGACGCATTGGAGTCCATGCGTCTTACCCTGCTCCCCTCGAAGACGCATGGCAATCCATGCGTCTTCCTCGTGCATGCAACGTCCACCACCAGCCCCACCGTCCACCACCAGCCCCACCGCCCACTGCTTAGTTCCACTTGAAGACGCATGGATTGTCATGCGTCTTTCCCCATACGACACCCTTCGTTTTCCTTACGTTGCATGGGCGTCATGCATGGACGCCCAAAGATGCATTGGCGCTCATCCGTAATACACTCATTCCCCATTGCCATGCATGCAACCTCGAAGACGCGCAACGGTGAACACCTAACGTAAACCCTGCATGAGAACCCCTCGAAGACGCATGGCTTTCCATGCGTTTTCCTCTATGCATGCTCGTGGCCCCCTTCATGGTAATTGGCGTCATACGCCCGTGAGGCCTCTACATGCATGGCTGCAGTAGCAGAGTACGAGGATAGAGGACATGGGGAGGGGGTCGGTTCCTACGAAAGTGCGTCTCCTGGGTCCCCTGGTGTGGCCGACAAAGTTGCATGGCATGCCAGTGACGTAGGTGCAGTAGGTAGCTGACATTTAAATGATAAAAGTGTAACCCATACTCCTAT